AATGCTCCGCGTTATTATAAAAATTTTCCGAAATTTTCCGCGTATATAGTGAGGGGGGAAGGCGGGAGAGGGGGGGGGGTAACGTAAACCACTGAATCGAATTGGTCTCGCCTTATTTATATAAAGTTCACTATTCTAGTTTTACAATACATACTGTATATCACATTTCTTATCAAATGAATCGAATAATTTTATTCTTAAAGCGAAAAAAATATGAAAGCAATAACATAGATAGTATTGATGCAACTAATAGCCTAACCCTAAAGTTATTCAAATAAATAATCTAAATGAGAAGTAAGAGAAAAAGAGGAAGGGGGCAAATTACTAGGTAAAGAAAATGTGTTACTAAGGTTAGCAGGTGTATTATCATTTAGAATAATGTAATTTGTATCAATATATGGGAAAAAATCATTTTGGATTTGTTGAAATCCTTCATTATAATTATAGTTAAAGTAGAAAGGAACGGATGCACCAAATTGAAATTCAGTCAAGGGCATTGTGTGTTTTTGTTCAAAATTTGTAGCTTCATTAAAGTTATTTTCAAAAACGTTAGCTGATTTATTTGCCGCTTTCGGTCCTCGCTTTTTAACCGGGTTAACATAAATACACTTAAGGTTATGTGATACACAATATGTGCAATTAGCTTCTTCAGAACATTTTTGTGGCAATTAGTGCATGCGTTAGTTGCATAACGTCCTCGTCGTTGCTTCGTCGAGTTAACAAATACATGTTCATTGGCCATTCGCGCATTAATTTTTTATGCAATTGTTTTTCAACTTTTTTTTCTTCGAGTAGATTTATTCCTGGACATATTTATAATTAAATTAATATTATCCTTGCGGATTGTTGTGTAACTTGCAGATCATTAAACTTTTTAAGAAAACGTTAAAATTTGGGATTGTTGTGTAACTTGTAGATCATTAATCTTTTTCTTTTTAAGAACACTCTTAACGTTAATTCTTATCGTTATTGAATAGGAAACGGATGTCGTACTCAAATAGATAATTTTTCATGTAACAATCACGATGATCTATAGTGTGTAAATTTACAAATATATATGTTATTATTATTGATTATATATATATATAATTATTAATCTTTTTAAGAACACTCTTGACGTTAAATTCTTATGGATAATTAAATTCGTAGTTTTCTTATACGATATAAAGGAAACGGATGTCGTACTCAAATAGATGATTTTCGTGTAACAATCACGATGATATATAGTGCTACGTATAAATTTACAAGTATATTATTATTGATTATATATATAATTATAATTAAAAATACAGGTTCTGTTGAGTAACTGAGCGAATTTTTAAGCCAGTTATTATGTAATTTATAGGAGATACAATTTGAAATTCGATAATAGATTTTTAAATTTCAAATTGTATCTCCTCTGTAAATTACATATTAACTAGTTCGAAAATTTTACTTGATTGCTCAGCAGTATCTATATTTTAAAAAAGAGCTTTTTAAAAAAACATTTTTTTATTAAAATTTTATTTAATTTATTGAAAACATATCGGCAAATTTGCGGAATTGACCTAAATTAAGGTCCATATATTTTAACAATGCGATTGTAAAGCCGACCCCAAAATTTCAGCCATTATGCATTCTGCAATTGTTAAATCCAGGGACTCTAATTTAGATCCATTCCGCAAATCCGCCGATATGATAATCTACCTGTTGCAGGCGGTGACAGTGTTCGGATTTTATTTATAGTTGTATTTAGGGTTAAAAAGGTCATAGTATATAGTAATATTGTGCAATGGATATTTTTGTTAAGACACGGAAGTTGATTCACAGGCAAATTTTTGAGTTATTTTGTTTGGAAATTTCGATATTCTTGTAACTGCCAGTGATAAATAGTTTCGCCCATATTTTGCAAATGATTTTTAATAATAATCGTGGTCGTTACACAAAAAATGCCTATTATTCATATAGGACTATACACAAATTTGATTTATATAGTACATCGAACACCCCAGTGTATCTTGCAAGCCTATTTACAAACTTTACTACTGTAATTAAAATTTTTATAGATCAGTGATAGTGTAATACATAGTAAAATAATGGTAAAAACATATAAAATTCAAATCGCAATAACTCATGAACTAGCAAGCCCACATAAATAAAATCACATTTGTCGGATTCATTTGAGCATACTTTTTAAAGTAACAATGCTTTTTTATTATTTTAATTCAATCTTCATGCAAAAATGTCGTCTTTGATATTTTTTAATAAATCATCAAAATGTAACTTTGAATTTTTGTCTATCGTATTGTATTGTACAGTGTTGTCACTGGAAAGCCGAATCCCACTGGACGTCCAGATTCTTCTAATATTCCAGTGGTTCCAGTGAGAAATCCTACTAAACGTATTCATCTGATTGGCTAATCCAAGCGTGACTATTGGTCAATCAAATTAGTTAGTTGGCGACTAATTATGTTTCCGAAGCTATTCATGCAATATATTCAGTTACTTTCCAACACATCTATTCAAGATTCTATCATAATTATTCATTCTTTCATTACGATAATATAATCAATATTTGTAAAAAAAAAGGATTCTCATGTCCGATTTCATTTAATTCGTTAACAAAGTCTAAAATTATCGTATGCCGGATTATCTAAGTTACTCTGGTTATTATAAATGACCCTGTTTGTTGCCTGGTAATATTTGTATAAATGGTAGGTACCTGGAGCTTAAATTTTATGCCAGTTTGATCTTTGCTCATTATGCTCAGTCAGTGTTGTTCCGGACACCTGTACATGGACACGGACACCCCTCCATGGACACGGACACCGTCCATGGACATGTAGACATAGACAGTCCATGTTCATGAACATTGGACACTCTATTATCTCTCTATGTCCATGGACGGTCCATGTTCATGTCCATGTCCAGGAACAACACTGTCCTCGGTGATTGATTCTAATCGGCCAATCAGAAGCCGTTGGAAGTTACTGGACGTCATTGGAACTTCCATTTCAGTAATAAAAATCTTCACTGGAATGGTCTAGTGACATTCGACCACTGGAAGCTATTATGCTTCGAATTCCATCTAGTTAAGTTTAGTGAACTTCCAGTTCCAGTAATTTCCACTGGAACATTCCAGTATGCAACCCTGATATTATATATGCAATGGTGATTGACAAAAATTAAAGCTACTTTTTTGAATTTTTTTAAAAAAAATCAAAGACGACAATTTTGCATGGAAATTGGGCACCCGTTATGCTCTAAACAAAAAAGATAAATAAAAAGGTGTTGTAACCTTAAAGAGCATACTAAAATGAACCTGATAAATGTAATTTCATTTGTGTGGACTGCTGGTTCAAGAGTTATTGCAGTTTGAATTTTATGTTTTTACTATTATTTTACTATCACACTATCATTGATCTATAAAAGAATAAATTAATGATTTTCACTATACACTTACACTATGTTTGTAAATAGACTTGCATGATTCACCCAAAGATAAATGTATCGACAAAAAAAAAATTATACAATTTAAATTAAACTATTTTGTATATTAAAATAATATATTCAACCCATTTTTAATGAAGTTATAGTGAACATAGCAAATAACAATAAATTCCCATTAGTAATAACTTTTCAGAACCAGGTAAAGTCAAGATGATTCCATGCTGACTTTTAAACAAATGTCAAAACTCGAATAAGATATGACCAACAAAGGAAATAAATCTTATTGGAATAAAATATTTGCTTTATTGAAGCTATGTGAAGGAAAAAAATCGAGCGTTTGAATTATGATAAAAGACAGAATGTCTTCATGTACATATACATATATCTATTTATTATTTATAATTCAACAAAAAATTATTTCTAGAAGAAGGTGCTAAAGATAAATCTATCTTTTAGAATGTGATTCGATTTGCGTTTGATCGGCAGTAAATCTGAAACGGCAAAATGTCATTTAGCCCTAGTGTTACTTATGATACATGTTTTTGTTTATCCAGAGGATCATGTGTGATAAAGTTTCATTAAATAAACTTACATGCCATTATGCACCTTTAAAGACCAGAATAAACTATGAAATAAACATATTAAGGTACAGTATTGTGCCGTAAAGATATACCATATTCCGATTTGATTGGTAGTAAATCCGTAAATTTTGTTATTTAGCCCTAGTGTTATAATGCAATTTTTTTTATCCAGCAGGGTCATGTGTAACAAAGTTTCATGATATAAATAATCTTTTATGGAATAAACTTTTTATGCACAATCTCGTAGTTAAAAATCTACTAAGCAGATGTATGAATTTTCATGAATATATTATATACATGAAAATGTGTATTTAATACAGTAACATTAATTCAATTAAAAATTTCATATAAGTACTTAGAATGAGATGTTTAATAAATATTGTATTACCAATACACAATAGTTAAATTAAAAAAGATCATTTATTAATTAAAGTATAGTATTGTGTAGTAGAATATACCGATTTGATCGACAGTAATTCGCAAATTTGTTACTCATTCTATAGTAAGGCCGTTCAAAGTTGAATAGTTGTTTAACGTAACCCCCCCTCTCGGTTAGCTGCCCCCCGGAAATTAAACAAGCCAATCACGACGCAGGATAATCATGTGATTAAAGTTGGCCAATGAAATTTAGTCAAATATTCTGTGTCGTATATGTGTTTGTTTAAATCCCCCCCTCGAGCTTGAGCCCAAATATTGACGTTAAACAACTAATCAACTTTGAACGGCCTAATATCATGATGCATATTTTTGTTGTTTATCCAGTGTAATAGGTAATTTTTAGTTTGTCACAAAAACTAAATATTATAAAATTCATATTGAACGGCATCACCAGATGCAAGTGTTGTAAATTACGAAATTTGATTGGCTATTTATAATGCCGATCGTTTTCATCATTGTCAAAACTTTTAACGCATCTGCGCGTTATTCCATGCGTCCACGTGTGATATTTCGAATTATTTTATACTAACATAATATATAAAAAAAAATATAGTATTAGCTATAAATGACAATCCAATTAGGTTCATAGCCGCAGATAGGCGTTATTTGAGTCAAATATACAATTTTTAAAAAGTATGCAAGTACGTACGTACGTAGAAATTTCAAAATAACGCCCATGTGCATTATTACATGCAAATATGGTAATTCATTTGCCTAATAAATTTTTTTTTTTTTTTTTTTATAGAAAAATATACTAAAGTTTAATCAAATTATTCAGACAATTTTATTTCTTGATGTGAAAAAAAAACACAAAGCAATAAAATATAGATGTTACTGATATGACTAATAACCTAATCCTAAAGCTATCCAAATAAATAACTTAATGAGAAGTAAAAAATTTTTTTTTAAAAAGTCCATATTTCAAATTTACATAAATTTAATATGCTGCTAACTTTAGATTGGACAGTTCTTTAGACTTAGGCTTATTTTTTAAGAGGAAGGAAGTAAATTATTGGGTAAAGAAAATATGTTACTAAAATTAACAGGTGCATTATCATTTAGAATAAAGTAATTGGTATCAATATACGGAAAAAAACTGGGTTGGATTGTTTGAAGTGGTTGAAATCCTTCGTTGTAATTATAGTTAAGGTAGAAAGGGATGGATGAACTAAATTGATGCTCATTTAAGGCCAATGATCGTTTCTGTTCAATATTTAAAACTTTAGCTGATCTATTGGCCGTTTTCGGTCCTCGCTTTTTAATCGGGTTAACATAAATACATTCAAGGTTATGTGATGAACAATATGTGCAAGTAGTTTCTTCAGAACACTTTGTGTGTTTTTTTCGGCAATTAGTGCATGCATTAGTGGCGTAATGGCCTCGTTGATGTCGACTTGGAGAAGGCATGATCAATCAGGGTATTTGGTGGATAAATATTATATAAATATCGTATTTTATAGAAACAAATTTTATAGATGCGAATAAATAACACCGATAATAACTGAAATATTTTCGTTATTTTCTATCGATTATTGTCTAAAAACCATGATAAAAGACGTGGTGAGTCTATTTATAAAAAAAAAACCCCCAACTTTTTATTCTACTATATAATGCGTCAAAATTCTACAACTCTAATTTAGATACGGAGATCCTCGGTTATAAACATCCGTTTATAGTAAAGATGAATTAATTTAAACATTGCTGTAACATATCGATATCTAATATTTTATGTTTTCAATCGTAAATCTGGTAACCTGTTTGTACATCGCTGTTACACATAAACTTAAATCCGTTTATGAAACAAGATACACAACATGAAACATCAACTCCTATTTACAATTGCTCTTCTATATTAGGTAAGGTTAGTCAGTATAACATAAGAGTAAATTAAATTTTAAGTTAAATGAATAGTATGAATTGTATGTAATGGGTTTCAGAATTAAAATATTGAATCTGCTTTTGATAGGAATAGATGACGTGCTTACATTCAAATAAGCGATTATCAATTAATTTCATTTCTAATAAATTTGATTAATAATTATTGTTATTAAAAGTTTACTAACTTCATGAAATGGGTTATACCGAAAATTTATCTCTAGCCTATAGTTGTTAGACGAAACCTTTTTCGCATGACGACGAAAAACGAAACCTAAACCCCCAAAAGAAGAAACCTTAACCTTAAAATGACGAAACCTTACGCTAAACTCTAATGCTCCCGCTAAAAAACAAAAAACAAATGTTATTTTCGTTTAATTGACAAGCATAATTTATTCAATCCAAAATTACATGTATGCCAGCAAAAATAAACCAATTCATTTTTTCTGGACAAGCTAGGGTTGTTATAGACCAGTTGAATAACATTGTCAAAATGCCATAGTACTCATGGAATAACAAAATAATGAATTAAAAGACACTGCCTGGCACAAAATAAATTTGTAAGATCACAAAGTAAGCACCAAGCGATTTCTCACTGGAACTGATATGTAGTGCACTAGTAATTAAATTATATCGAAAATTTTACAAATAAATAAAATAAAAATACCGAAGAATAATAATAAAAGGTATGAAGAGCTTGAAAATAAACCTAAAGTTTGAAAATTTTGATAAGCCAATGCAAAAAAAAAAAAAAAAAAAAAAGAAAGATGATTCGAAGCAAAAAGCTTGTCGGCTGGAATGAATATTTTTATTTAAAATTTTTCTATACATGATAAATTAAATATTCCGTACTGTGCAATCTTTATCACAATGATAAATTCATTTAATTGATTAAGGATACTTTCCGCTAGTTAAAATTAAATTCCTGAATATTTTCGATATATTTTGGCTCATTAATTAAGATGTTCTCAAGCATCTTCCTCAATGCGATAACCGTGATCAACATAAGTACTATGATTAATTGAAGTAATCCTTACGGTAATTTGTTCTATTAAATCTTAGTCAATCAACACAACTCTGATATACAAAGATGGTCGAGACCATCATTTTTTTTCATCGCGATGATGAACTCAGTTAACCAGCTAAACGATTTGCCACTAACTAAAAATTGAGTTTCGGTCTAATAATTTATGTGCTTGAGAATCCTAAGGCGCCTATATCAGTGCAAGTAAAAAAATCAAATAAGTGAAAGAAATAAAATGAGATACGAAGTAAATAACTCATCTTTTCTAAAATCAGGTTTAATAAACCAAACGCTTTTTACAAAAAAAAAAAAGAAAAGAAAAAGAAAACCTGAAATTTTAATATAAACCACCTTCTACGGCCTAATTAAAAATATTCTTCGTAAAACTTCACCATTTATACACTAGGTTATCCTACCCCAACTATAACGAGTTTTATTTTATTGGCTTTAATTTTTTACAGGGATGGGCTAATTTTTGTGAGAGCACGTTAGTTGTAAAATCCATTTATAGTATGAATTTCTATTGATGCTCATATTTACGTTTGCAATAAGATTTTCCATGACAACAGAATACCTGTAAGCAAAATCTCTATGCCGATCCTAACCCATTTTTGCACTGGGGCATGACAAATCATAAGGTGGCGAATAAACATTTAAAATATAAATCACATAATATTGTTTATTCGCTACGCCATATGATTGTCACGCCCTGTGTCAATGAGTTGAGATCGGCACAGTGATAGAATTTTGCTTTTCCCTGTGCAGCATTCAAATAATGTAGTACGTACGTTAATTTAATGCAAGTTTAAAATAAAGTATTTTGATATAAAAAAATGTTATTATTTTCTTTATAATATGACTTTGATTATTTCATTACACTTTTTTCATCTCAACTTTTGAAAAATTTGTTGATAGCTATGCGAATAACTGAAAAAATAAAAGACATAGAATGATCGTTCAAAATATCAGTCCATTTTTAATTGTTATCTATTATTTAAGAGTAGGCCACATACCATATTAACGCTGAAAGCATTTTATATGTAAGTTTTTAAGTTAATGGCAGTTTTTTTTTTCAGATTATTTGATTTTTTTGCATTTCTTTCGCTGTGTACCTCAAAAGTCAAAATATTATTAATATCTTTAGATACTTTGTACCATAAACATTGGCTAATAATTTCTGTAAACCTCCAAACGCACTTATAAAACTCACCAATAAACAACTCCTGATGATTGTATGCTCCAAGAATCACAGAATAACCTTTTAGAAATAAAAGAATGCTGTGCTTCATTGTATAACGATAAATTTTAAGGGTTTATAGATTTACTTTTCAAAAATAGAAAGAATAACATGCTTATAAATTTAAAAACAAATCAGATCCCATTATATTATTTTAAATTCTAGCTTTGCTGTATATTTTGCATTATTTTTTTGTAATTTAACGTTGAATTGAATTGAATCGCACATGGCATGTCTTGGCAAGAATTTTTCCACAAATGGAAATAATTATCTAAGTTTGAAATTCTTTGTTTTTTTTTTTAAAAAAAAAAAAAAAAAATTTATGCATCAATGTATTCCTTTATTTTGGTCTGGTGACTGACCACACAAAGGATGAATATTAATGTTCTATTATAACCAATACTACATTTAGCAATAAATATTCCGAGGCTAAATAATTAGACAAAGTGTTTCTAACTTTTTATTCTTTTGTATGGCGTAAAATTGTTCCTAATCATACAATAGTAGGTATTCCTAAATCTATAAACCTAAAACTTTTTCTAAATATATCGTGATTCAAAAGGATTAAATTGTGTCATATGTGCTCAATGATTTGCCTGTTAAAATATCATGAACTGGAAAAAATTAACTATATATAGAAATATAAATGCATAGCTTAAATGATCATCGTGTTTCATGAGCATACACAAACGTTTTGATGTACTGCCTTATTTAATATGATCTGTTACTCATATGCACGCATGTACAATACGTACGTACGTACATATTCATTATTACGGCGGAAGAGATATATAAAAGATTATGTACATACTATGTACAACCTTTTTTTTTCCTATCTGCATGGAATTACATAAAGAATTATTCTTAATAGTGATAGGATTTAAAATGGTTAAAATTGGTTAAAATTGGTTAAATGAACGAATAAATAAGTAAATTTTTTAAATCATATCACTTTGATTTAGATTATTGATAATCTTGCACCGGTCAAAATTATTGCAATTCCGAGAAACTATCGTTATAAGAATATAATCTAGCATTTGCGTATCACAAAATAAAGCCTGGATAAGTTTTCCGGGTTTATTTTGTTTCACAAAATGGCATGCATAAATCCTTATTCAATCATTGTTTCGTGTTTACCTTCATGCGCTATTAGGCAACTGATGATATACCCCTCATTAAAAATACATCAATTTTTGGTATGCAAATTAAAAGAATGATAGTATATTATTAAGCTAATAGTTGATCCTTCCATAAAATCGATATGAATTCGTGTAATAAAGATTTTCTTTATTTAAAAAATTTGATGTGTAAGACATGAATTAATCTTTTGATATATTCGATTTATACTAGTGCTGAAACATAAATATATATTCTAATTAAAATCACCAAACTTTTTTTCCTGTAATTTACAAATATAAAATCTTTTCTAGTTCTATTATGACCATTTCTTATATTCCATGCTCTTGTAAAATTTTAACGAGTTTAATTTGCCTTTATTTTCCTTAATTTTGATACATTTCATATGCAATCTTTAGGATTTTAAAGAAATTATATATGTAGTTTAGAAATTACATAAGTAGTTTAATCTTTTTTTGACGTATAAATGTATCTTACTCGTTACATGTACATACTGTACGTACGTAAATCGAATTTTACACAAATAAAAGGCTTGACACAAGATTTATGCAACACATATAGAATAGTTTATATAATAATATGCGCAATGCTATAATGTAACAAATGTGTTTAATGTAAACGTGTATTTAATAAACTACATATATTTCCATGATTAATTTTTTTTGGTTGGTTTTTTTTTTGTTTTTATGCCCAATTAATTATAGGTGCTACGATGACATAATGCATCTATTACTTTATAATTCCTTGTTTTTAAATTTTGTAACAAAAAAAGAATAAAATCCATACATTAAGGATTTTTCTAGATACAAACACGCTATATCTATATTTAAAATATTATCCATTATAATGGTTCATGTGATTGACGGTTATCTGATGTAATTAATTGTGATCGTAATATTACTAATTGTAGGGTAGTAATAGTTAATAGTGCGAATGTACGTAAAAAAAAAAAAAGAAATCAGATTTCGTTCAAGATACATTTCTAATAAAGAAAATGCTTTTCTTGCTAGTCCAATTTCGTTGTTATCCCTATTCCCATAATTAATCGAATAAGTAAGTGTTCAATCACTATCAAGCCAGATATTCAGTATAGTCTAGTCTGTCCATTACATTAAACGTAACCCATAAAAAAAG